ATTTGATTTCCCCTAATTTGAGAGATTGTTAAATTTTTTATATTCATATAATACATATATATAATATGGTGTTATGTCTTTTCATCTATTTCAAACTCTTATTTTATTAGTTTATGTGACTTAATAAATTGCACAAAGTAAGTACATTGTACAAGAAATCTTGAAAGAAAATAGTGCAAATAAACAAGTTAGTCCTAATCATGAAGTCTCGACTCATGAGTCACGAACATCAAAATGAAATTTGATGTGAAGTTTGTAATTCAATAAAGTCATTTCAGTTTGATTTTAATAATTCATTGTGTGAATCCACATTTTTAAAGCTTCATATAAAAAAATTTTAAAAAAAAAAAAAAAAAAAACCTATTGTGGAATTAGATCTTTTCATGTTTTTCAAATATAAACTTCATATTTGATCAGTTAAAGTGACTTAATCATTGTACATAAATAAATTGTACATTAAATCCATAATAACTTAAACAAAAATGCATAAAAAACACATTCATTAATAACTATATTTTTTCTTTGAAAGAAAACATTCATTAATAACTAAAATAAAATACATGACTGATATGTAATAATATTAAATAGCGCGTGGATGTCCATTCTAGAATGTGAAGGATTAGATAAATGTCCAAACCTTTTTGTATTACTAAGTCTTTCCACATTCTATATTCTTTTCATGTAACTAGCTAGACCTTTCATTCGCCTAGAATTGTGTATATATATAGATGTACTCCCCATCAAAGTGTGTTCTCTGATATGTTGAGTTATACACTATTATTAGATTGATGAAGTTGAATGTATAATGTAATATCGCAACCTATAGTAATTGATTTGATATTATGTTTGAGTATTATTAATATTTAATGAAATTGTATTAAATTGTTAAAATAAATTTGATCATTAGACACATCTTAAGTTATTTTCTTATCATATTAACTATTATTTTTTTTAAAAAAAAAGAAGTCCTAAAGGACAATAAATTTCATTAATATAAGCCATATGGCATCTACAATTGACAATGAACGATAATGAAAACGAATTTCACAAAATCAAACAAGAATTAATAAGAATCCAAATACATAAATATAACAATTCGGCATATTCCCGATTCGTTGTCTCATACAACTTTTTGAGTGGATCCGTCGTCACTTCACAATTTTGTGAGAAAGTAAATTCTTGTGCTGATTCTGTAACCTGAATCCGAGTCATAATCAATAGTAGCCCCGCACAACCGGAGACCAAATTAAGCACAAATAAAACCTTGTCTTTCGAAGGAGTACGAAAAACCTTGTCTTTCGAAGGAAACCAAAAAATCTGTTAGTTGAGACGAACACTACGTATAAAAATATATTAAAGTACATGTCCCTATTTTCAAATACATCTTCAAATACATGTGCATTGGTAACAAGTATAAATAAATTATTTCGGGCCATAATATCACAGTCGAAGCACCATCCCAATGGCCCACATACTTCACAACTCTCAATTAGCTTTTTGAATGTATTTGGATTTTATATTAAAAAAGCTTTGTTTGAATGTGTTTGACTTTCATTTGATTCAATTAGTTTTGTTGAATGCATTTGACTTTTATTTTATTCTAAAAATCTTTGTTTGAATATGTTTGCCTTTGATTTGATTCAATTAGCTTAGTTGATACATTAAGCTTCCATTTGATTCAATTTGCTTTGTGGAATGCATTTTACTTTCATTAGATTCAATTAGCTTTGTTGAATGCATTTCACTTTCATTTGATTCAAAAAGCTTTGTTTGACTGTGTTTGATATTCATTTGATTCATCTAATGCATTTGACTTTCATTTGATTCAACTAGCTTTGTTATTTGACTTTCATTTGATTCAACTAGCTTTGTTATTTGACTTTCATTTGATTCAACTAGCTTTGTTATTTGACTTTCATTTTATTTAGAAAAGCTTTGATTGAAAAGTAACGTTTAACAAAACCTAAAAAGAAGTAGGTGATTGTATATTATTGAACTTACATGATACTATATTGTGGACCGAGTTTAATATTTTATTGAAAAGTAACGTGCAACAAGACCAAAAAAGAAGTAGATGATTGTAGATGGTATGTGCATTATAAAATATAAATTGTAGAATGAGTTTAATGTTTTAAATCTTTTTTTTCTTCTTAGTTCTTTTAATTTTCTCTCTATTCTGATTTATTCTCAATTCAAAATTTTGTCTCTCCTCTTTTTTCCCTTTTCTCAAAAGTTAACTTTTTTTAAAAGCAACCTTAAATGTTTACGTTACTTCCCTTCAATCTTTAAACTTCTTTGTCCTACTCCGGATATTTTCCAATTCGCCACCACTGTAGCATTCTCCATCGTCATCATCTTCATCGCAATCATGAATCTTGAGGTAGTTTAATTTAATATTTAATTTTTTTTGTGTTTTTGAATATGCATGAGAATGTTGTAAAATTGTTAATTTCTATCAATTTTGCATTTGTGATTCCAAATCTATCACGTTATTGATCAATAATTATTGTCTCTATGATGAATCAATATTACATTTAAGGTGGATATTCAAATTTTTAGAGTTAAAATAATTACAATTGAACTTGTGTATAATTGAACAATTTTGTACAAAATGAACATTTAGTACACTGAAAATGAACATCTAGTAAACTAAAAATGAATATTTAGTACACTAAAAGTGAACTATTAGTAGACTAAAAATGAACATATTTTAACGATTTATTTTAGCTTTATTTATATAAATTTATTAAATACAACGAATTTGAACCTATATGAATATATGAAATCATGTTCATTTTAATATATTAAATGCTCATAATATTATTTGGTGTGTGCATTTTTTTTTACGTTTTTTAATACTAAATTATCATTTATTTAATGTGTTCATATATTTTTATGAAATGTTTATTTTATTTTGTATGGTCTAGCTATTTTATGGTTGTATGATAAAAGTTCATTTCTAATATACTAAATATTCATTTTTTTTTTTTTGACATGTTCACTTTTTATTACTAAATGTTTGTGTTTTTTACACGTTCATTTTTTATTACTGAATATTCCTTTTTTTTTACTTTTTTTTTTTTACTAAATGTTCGTTTTTATGGTCGTGGTCTAGCAAATAAATGATCATATGATAATCATGTTCATTTTTAATAAATGTGCATTTTTGTATAACATGTTCACTTTTTAGTATTAAATGTTTATTTTTTGACATATTCATTTTTTATTATTAGATGTTCATTTTTTTTCATGTTTATATTTTTTTAATAAATGTTTATTTTATAGAGCGTGGAGTTAATTTGGGCGGGTCGCAAATATATTATCTGGGTTATTTGATTTAGGCCGCGCATTTGGGCCTTTTCTTATTACAGCTATAATAGCTACATTAGTATGCAGCTAAGACCCGATGGTCTTCAATGAGCCTGAGCCTAACCATTTAGTTTTCTTTGGGTTGCTCCCTTTGCAAAATTATCTCTTACCAAATGCCTAACAACTCAAAACAAAAAACATAAAATTTTCATTTTCAATTTCGTCATATCTACAATTACATTGAACCTAACATAAGGAAATAAGAAAATACCAAATTTATAATAAAAAAAATCAGATAAATATAACACCTCACAGATTTAACTACAATATTAATTTACATGTTGATTTATATATTACAATATTAATTTACATGTTGATTTACACAAATATTAATTTTACCCAATTACAATATGATTTTACATGTTGATTTATACAAATAAAGAAAGTAAATATACCTTGGAAGAATGTTGATTTACAAATAAAGAAAGTGAATTATATATTGTATCATATTAAAAATCTATTTTACCCAATTACAAGCAAAATGTACATGTTGATATATATAAATAAAGAAAGTAAATATACAAAGAAGTAAAGCCTCCTTCTTCCCAAATCATATTATGCCATTTGTGGGGCAATATACTTTGAACAATTTTGCAACAATAAATGAGTTGTGGGGCAATTTTTTCCAAGTTTCTTTGACTAGCTAACGGAAGAATATGATTGTTGTAAGATGTGAAGTCCAACAAGGCAAAGGCATGTGCCATGAAGTCCAACAAGGCAAGGACATGCTGATGTGGATTCTACTCATCTGGTGGAAATGACAATCTCATCCTCAACGAACTAAGGTGAAATACCAGAAATACCCTAAAATTGACAAAGTTTGTCAATCATGAAGATAAACTTGGAATTCCTCGAGAAGTAATGGGTGATTAGTAATGGAGAGTTATTAAGATGAAAAATTTATGTATGGGAATTGCAAATTGACCAGGATTATTAATGGAGTAGATGGCTTCGGAGAATTAATTGTATACGGATCTCTTGACTGTTGCAAATAGAATTTGATTTTTTTTTAAATAGCAAAACAAGGTTAAACCACGTGCAATGCACGGATGTTGAATAATTATAATAAAAATATAAGGAGTAATAATTTTACAAAAAATAAATAAATCGTTTGACCAATTATAAAAACGCATAAAATATATTAAAAACTGCAAACATATAATAAAAAATGTTTATATATGTAATAGTTATATAATGCAAGTTGATATTTTAGGAAGTTTACTTTAGAATTATATAAAATAAAAGTCATAATCTAGATGCAAAACAATAATTTATTTTTAGAAAGTAATTTTGGCGGGAATTTTTTTTATAATATATTGTCAAGTGTCTCATTAGATTCTTCTTCTTCAAAAAAAAGTGTCTGATTAGATTCGCTTTTAGTAATATGTAATGTAATTGATTGATTGGGCTCCAATGAAATTGGGCCCTCAATTTTGGGGCCCTGTGTTAAGGGTCTGTTTGCACAGGCCTTAGCCGGCCTGGTTTTACTAACATATAATTAGATAAATTAATGGTCAAAGGTATGTCTTGACATGTGCGTTTGGTTAAAGTGTAACACTCATTAAACTACATTAGAGTAATTAATCTCGTACACATCAAAGTGTTTCTTTGAAATTTGTAAACTAATTGTTTCAAACAGTACAAATATCACCATCTTTCATAGCTTGGCCTACTTCCTCATCATCAAACTTCTTCGACATCGCTTGCGCCTTACAACCATAGAAATACAATACCATAGTAACCCACTTCACCAAACTACCCAAGCAAACCAATACAACAACAATTGCAGTAACTACAACTCTAAAAGTCACAAAGTTACACATTCTGGCTAGCAGAATGGGCAGCCTCAGAGCAACAATATATACAAAGAATATAAGCATCAAACTGGAACCCGGTTCGCTTGCAGTGCTTTCGATAGTAAGCTGATATCTCTAGTGCATCGAGCCCGGTTTCTCCCTCTAACACAGATATCACTATAGCCATGTTCCACAAAGCACTCCAATCAAGATACTTGTACAACAGAGCCAAAGCAATAAGTGTATGAAACAATATTGACAGTATGTTTACATAAATATTATTTTGTATGACAGAATCATATCTGTAATCCGAAAAAGAATAGTCGAATCCAGTCGTAATTATAGAGTGATTTGCTACTGCCCAAATTAGACCAAAAAGATTAGAAGCTGAAAATAACTGAACCCAAAGAGAGGTAATAAAAGGACCTTTGAAGTTGTTTTTCTGGTAAAAAGTTTCCTTCAAATTAGCTGATTCTGTATTTCCTGCATCTACAACTTTTGCAGAAATATTTATGACTATGGTCAAGCTAAAGAGCTCTAGCAGAGGGAGGAAGATCAAATAAAAGGGTACGAGCTCAAAAACTATACGAAATGTTTCTCTTTTTGATTCATTTTCATCAGTGGTGCTGAAAAGACTAATGTTTTCATCACTATCAAAGCCGATATCATAGGACATGGAAAATGGTACTAAGAATCTTAATATAGCATCAGTTGCTTCAGAAATCTGAATCTCAAAGAAAACTATGAAAGAAAAGAAAGGTAAAATAGATAGAATCATGAAGGACATAAATTTAGTGTTACTTGTAAAGTTTTTGACAGCAGACTTCAGAATCTCAAAGGACTTCAGCTGCTTGACATTCAGGAATTTCAATCTTTGCCTTTCATTACGAAACTCGAGTTGTTGTATTTCTTCTCCTTCTTCCTGAGATTGTAGTAAAGCTTGTTTGAATCTAGGATCCATGGATGCTTCTTCTGAACTTAAAATTTTTTATTCTTCAACACACACACTAGTTCCTTAGGAAATTAAGGAGCTACTTTTTAATAAAGTATTATTGGTTTACCAAGTTGATCTAAAACTAATTAGTGGGCTATTGACTTAAAAAAAAAAAAGTCAGAAGTCGTCCACTATACTATGAAAAGAAAAAATCAAATCAAAGGATGATAAGATATAGTTCAGAAAAAAGATATGTATCACTTCACAAGAAATGTCTTTTTTATAGAAGTCAAAATTGCTTTTAATCGCGGTTTAATTTCACAATAATAATCTAGCTGTCACATTACAAGTTATGTAACAAATTAAATTTTTATTTCGATTTGAAAATTAAGGTAAATCAGCGGCATTTACTGATTTCTCTAGCTTATTATGATCATCAACCTTCTTTCCCATAATTTGTTGCTTGCAATAATAATAATATAGCAAAAATGCAACCCACTTCACTAAATTCCCCACTAAAACCAACACTATAACTATACAAGTGATCCAAAGATCAGCAAGATTTTCATCATATGATCTGGCATACAAACAGAGAAGCCTCAGGACATGACCAAACACGAAGAATCCGGGCATCAGTTGGAACCCGATTTTCTTGCAATGCTTGCCATAGTAATTTGACATTCCAAATGCCGCGATCCCAGTTTGTTCTCCCATGACAGAAATCACCATACTCATGTTCCATAATGCACTCCACTCTAAGTACTTATACAGCAAACCAAAGAATATCACTGAATGAACTGTTATAGACAGTATAGGTAAATTCAACCCTGAGTTTATAAAATCGAAATAATTGGAACTGCTTAACACAAGAAAGTGATTTGAAACGGCCCATAAAATGCCTAATAAAGTCATAGTCAACATCAAATGAACACAAATATATGTAACGAAAGCACCCTTTAAGTCTATTTTGAGGGGATAAAGCATTTCTTTAAAACTCAGAGTTGCTGGTTTATCTGTTGCATCAAGTTTTGCTGCAATTTTCAGGGTTAAAATCATGGTAAAGAACTCTAAAAGAGGGTAAAGAAATAGGTAAAACAGAAAAGGTTGGAGTAAATTCAATAACAACTCTCTTATTTCACTATTATAGCTTGAAAGACTTTAAAAATTATTATGTGATATAGCTAGTTCCTCTGCATCATCTGGAAGTGGATTTAGTCCTCGCCCTCCTTGGGCATCATCATCATCATCGGTCAAACTACTGAAAACATAGTTGTAATCGAAGGAAGATGGTAGTGGTTTAAGAAAATTTGATATAGAGTCCATTTCTTCTGAGATTTTGATCTCATAAAAAACCATGAAAACAAACAAAGGTAAAATAGACAAAAATAATATGAGCATGAATTTAGTGTTACTTGTAATGATTTTCACAGCAGATTTCAGAATCTCTAAGGGTTTCCTTAGATGCATGATGGTTGGGATAGAGATCATTTTGCTGCATTCTGTTTCGAAACCTGAGTTCTTGTTCTTCTTCATGGGGTTGTATGCCTTGTAGCAAAGCTTGTGCACCTTGAGAAGTCATATAATTTATTTTCATTTTTATTTTTATTTTTAAGCTGGTGTATTTTGATGCTTATTTTAAAGTAAGCTAATCTAATATCATATAATAACTAATATATAAAGCTAAACTTTTATCCAAGCGACGAGATATCGACATTTGGCGTTCCAACTTTTCGCCAAGTGTCGCGCCACATAGGATAGAGTTATATAGAATTCAATTTGTAGGATAAAAAAAGTTAATTTAAAATTCTATTTTCAATCAAATTTGGATAGAATTTTAGGATAAAATTGTTAATTTAGAGTTTTATTTTTGATAAAGTACCAATATTTCATATGTACAAATTAAATTATAATTTTATTAAAAAAAATTATAACACTCATAAATTATCATATAAATTTATTTTTTGTATCATAGTATTTTTTGGAGCGAAGGAATTAGCACCACATCCATTATTTATAATATATTCTAATCAATTTAAACAATATACTTTACAATCTAATATAATTTTATTACTCTATGTAGACCTTTCAATCGGGGCGGGTCACGAGTCATTTCGGACAGGGTCATTATTTCAGGTTACGGGTCAAGAAATGTTTAAATCATCATAAAAACACATCAAATTCTAACTAATTTTGTATCAATGATATGTTTTAAAATTTGACATATAGATTAAAAATTTATCTTAAAATTCAATAAACAACCCGGGCATCGCACGGGCACGAAATAGCGACACTTGGCGTTCCAACTTTTTGCCAAGTGTCGCGCCACGTAGGATAAAGTTATATAAAATTCAATTTGTAGGATAAAAAAGTTAATTTAGAATTCTATTTTCAATCAAATTTGGATAGAATCTTAGGATAAAATTGTTAATTTAGAGTTTTATTTTCGATAAAGTACTAATATTTCGTATGTATAAATTCAATTATAATTTTATTAAAAAAAAATTATGACACTCATAAATTACCATATAAATTTTTTTTTTATCATAGTATTTTTTTGGAGCTAAGGAATTAGCTTAAAATGCACCACATCCATTATTTATAATATATTCTAATCAATTAAAACAATATACTTTACGATATAATATAATTTTATTACTGTGTGTAGACCTGTCAATCGGGTCGGGTCACGAGTCATTTCGAACAGGGTCTGATTAGGGGATTTTGCTCCTACCAATCGGAATGCGCCACGTGGGCCAATCAGGTCCTGCCAAGTGTCCCCCAGTTGGAACTGTCATGGCTTTCCACGTGGCACACGCTTATTCGTCCACCTTGGACCTATTATGTCATGACACGTGGCATACTCCATGCCTAATGGAGAAACCGGCCACCCAGGCCCAACTTCTGGGGGAAGCCCAATCAGCCCTAGGTTAACCTAAACCTAGGATTAGCACGTTTCCCAAGGTTATAAATACCTCCCTTAATCCTCATTAAGGGAGATTACATTAATTACAGAGATAATAGGCTGATCACGCTAACAAAGCAGATTACGCTAAAAGCTCACATTAAACACTCTCACCTAGAGAGACCCAATCACTTTAATTTCCGCATTAATTACTCCTTAATCAAGTACTAACTTGACCGTTGGAGGCGGAGCTCCCACCACCAGGAGTCTCCGTTGTTTTGCAGGTACAGGCGTCCGGTTCCAGTCTCGGAATTGTAACTCTCCCGCAGGACATCAGAAAACCCCGAAACATTTGGCGTCGTCTGTGGGGAGAGTACTTCTGAGATGGCATCCAAGTCTGTACCGACTCCTGAAGAGAGGCGTCCCCTAGACGACCCTCAAGTTCAGTCGGACCACGATACTGAGAGTGAATTTGAAGTTGAAGCTCACACAGCTTCAGACGGGACCCTAAGGGCCCGACGTACCCGTCATACCGAAAGGAGGGAACGGGAACATCTTCATACAGGAAGCGAGCCAGCAGGCGCACCGCCTGTTCGGCAGCAGCCGACTGATGGATCTTCTCCCATCACAAGAAACGAACTCATGACCTTCATGAGGGACTTCAAGGGAGAAATTCAAGAGTTGATCAACAAGAAGCCGCCTGCTCTGGGCAAGGAGCAGTCGGCTAAGAAACCATCCTCTTCACAGAAGAGGAAGCCAGTTCAAGGGCGAGAGGCGACTCCTCATCCTAAATCTAGGAAGCGGGAGCCACCTGCCCTTGATTTCACAAAATACCGTTTTCCTACTCCAGGAAATAGGAAACCTGTTCGTCATATTCAGGCGGACGGGTCGAGGAAATCATACACAGACGCTCGGCTACTGCTAGAGCAGAAGAAGAGTGACCGATTGTCAGAGTCGGCCTCTACTTCAAACTTCCAAGACAGTCTGCGAAATACCTCAATGAGGCATACGCAGTCTTATCATGAGAGTCAGTCAGGCGGCACCTCCCGTCAGTCCGGCTTTCATAGCGACCAGGCGGTACCAAACTTACGGTTTGTGCCGCAACAACATTTTTTTTTACAGCCACCTCCGTTTGGTGGACCTGCAGCAAAAAATGTCCAACCTATGGACTGGAAGCTACGGTTGCTTAGACTTGGTGAACAGCCGTCGGCTTTCTCCAAGGAAATTACTGAAGCCGCTCAGCCGGCCAAAGTGAAAAATGTATTAGTAGGCGCCTATGACGGCACTATTAACCCAGAAGACCATCTTATGGCCTTCACCAACCTGATGTACCTTCAAGGGTTGGATGATCCCACCTGGTGCAAGTGTTTCCCAGCGACTCTCAAAGGAATCGCACAACAATGGTTCGGCAACCTGCCGACTGGTTGTGTAAATAGCTTCAGGACGCTTGCTTACTTATTCACCTCCAACTTCGCCATGAACATCCCTGCAAAGAAGACGACCCTTGATTTAGGAACAATTCAGCAGGGCGAGAAGGAGGGGCTTCGTTCTTACATCAGGCGTTTTAACCTGATGAGAATACAGATTCAAGGGTTACCGGATGAGGTAGCCTATACTGACTTTTTCAGAGGTCTCAAGGACGGGTCGACCTTCAAATTTGACTTGGTCCGAAAGAGGGTGGCGACTCTTCAAGAGGCCTTGATTGAAGCGGAAGCCTATATACAGGCGACTGATCTTTGTAGTACGGGAAGACAGTCGGACGGTAAAAGGTCCGACAAAAAAGAAGGACGACAGAAGCAGTCGTCCAACAAAGACGAGAAAAGAAAAGAGGTCTGGGCGGCTGATTCCTCTAAACAGCCGGCCCAGAAAAAGAAAAAAGAATTCATACCATACTCCCCAAAGTATGCGTTTAACAAGGATAACCAGTTTATCCTAAAAGAAATCAAGGGACGGATCTCAATTGAGAAGCCGGTCCCCATGAAGGGTTCTGCAAACAAACGGAACCAAGAAAAATTATGTGCTTATCATGATGATGTTGGTCATCACACCAATGACTGCATCAGTCTCATGCGGTATCTGGACCGCCTGGCTGAGCAAGGTGATCTTGACACTTATGTCAAGAAATCTACGGGGAACACTTCCTCAAAAAAGCAGTCGGCCAAAAAGAAACAACAGGCCGAAAGCTCCGATACAGATGATGCAGTCGTCTACACCATTGCAGGCGGCTTCTCAGGAGGCGGCCCCACTATTAGGGGCAACAAAGACAATATCAGCCGGTTAGATGTAAATTCCGTTCACCAAGAACGGCCGTCCAAATATTCATTTCCTAAGATTGTCATCACTGAAGAAGATCTAGGAGGGGTAAGAGGGCCGCATGACGACCCTATCGTTATTGAATGTAAAGTGGCCAACCAGAGAGTTGGCCGAATCCTCATAGATACCGGAAGCTCCTCAGATCTCATCAGTAGCAAATGTCTGTCGAAACTAAAATATCAGACTGATTGCATACATCCGGCCTCCCACCCTTTAGTAGGGTTTGGAGGAGGAGTCGTCCACCCAGTGGGACGAGTGGATTTACCCATCCGTCTGGGCGAAAAAGGGGAAGGACGACACATGGTAGTCCGGTTCCTGGTAGTAAAAGAACTCTCGGCCTACAACATGATTCTGGGACGACCAACCCTGAATAATTCCAAGGCTGTTATAATCCCATCTCTTATGTTGCTCAAGTTTGAGAGGGATAATGGAACAGTCGGGTCCCTAAGGAGAGATCAGAGGATGGCCCGAGAGTGCTATCTCTCAGATGTCAAGCCCACTGTTATGGCCACTGGGTCAAGTGGTGGAAAAACAGACCTTGACAATGTCAAGGAGAGTGCGCCTGTTCAAGAAGCAGGCGGCAAGAAGAGAAAGGCATCCCAGACAGGGGCCGCAAGAAAAGACAAAAAATAGAAATCATTGGCAGAGGAGCGGTCGGATGAATTCCGCCCTTAGCCGGCTGGTGAGCATACGGACTTGATCTTAGACGACTCACGTCCTGAGCGAACAGTCAAAGTTGGGACGAATGCTCTGAGAGACCTTGGTGACGACTTTCACAAACTATTGAAAGAATATAAGGACATCTTTGCATTCGAATTCCATGAAATGCCAGGCATTAGTCCTGATCTGGCGGTACATAAACTAGCCGTGGATCCGAAAAAGAAGCCGGTACGGCAGAAGAAGCGGAACCATGGCGAAGAAAGAAGTCAGGCGGCAGCCGCCAAAGTTAAAAAATTACTTGATGCAGGGTTCATTTGGCAATGTTACTTCCCAGACTGGGTTGCAAATGTGGTGCTTGTTAAAAAGCCGAATGGCACCTGGCGAATGTGTGTAGACTACACAGATTTAAACAAGGCGTGCCCCAAAGACAGTTACCCTCTGCCTAAAATTGATTACCTGGTCGACTCAACAGCCGGCCATGCTTTGATGAGCTTTATGGACGCCTACTCTGGTTTCCATCAAATTCCTTTATGGAAGAAAGATCAGGAGAAGACGGCCTTCGTCACTGATCAGGGGTTAAACTGTTACACTGTCATGCCGTTTGGTCTTAAGAATGCCCCGGCTACCTTCCAGCGAATGATAAACACTGTGTTCTTTG